ATATATATACATATATATATACATATATATACACACACACATATACATCTATACATACATATGTGTGGATGTTTCGATAGGGCCAGTTTGTTTTCACTCTGAGGTTTGTTGACTAGATTGTTTTCAAATCTAATTAGAAGGTAATGAAGAGGTTTGTCCTCCTTGTTAACTGTGCTTTTCATTAGCCATTTAGTGGAAAAACACAAATTGTTTAATCGCTACATTGTTTTAACTCCTTGTTTATACATTGTCCCTCATTTTTAGGCAGGAATTAATTAGCACCATTTTTCTTTGACAACTGTCGTACACACACAGGCCCTGAGGGTTTTGTGACTAAGTGCTTACCTTGTTGCAGTACATTGACAATGGTGATGCCAGAATTATTGGTGGCAAGTCGATACCATTCATTGCGAGGGTTGAGTAGCCACTCCTCCACATGGCAATAGTAACGCCCAGCATCTGCTGGTCGAGCTCCGTGAATGGTCAGGCTGTACTGATCAGAACTAGTCCTTTCAAACTGATAGCGGGAGTTTGGCCCGTTGTCGTCAGGGGGGCTGCAGTTTCCATTTCCAAAAATGGCATCATGGCCGATGGAAAACACACAGTCCCGCTTATCCTCATCCTCACCTGGCTGGTCTTCAATATCCACTTCATCAGAACGCTCGACGTACCAGAAAACAGAAAAACGGGAGTCAGGAGATGACTGGCTGAAAATGCTGCAGCTCAGTCTGATTGAGCTGGACTCTTCCACTGTCACGTTATTCTCCAGCTCGTCCACACGCAGTTGAGGCTCTGCAGAGATTTTATGAGGGAGAGAAAAGGAAAGAGGTTTACCTTTATTAAAATGTTCATGTTTTTAATGGTGTTGAAATTAAGCTTTAAAGTAAATAAAATTCTTAGGCGACTTCACTTTTCAACTATAGTACAAATTACCGAGACATAAAATAAAAGAGACCTTAAAAATGTCATATTTTGTTATAGATTGAGTAATTGTAGCTATAAAATGAGCTCATTTAAAAATGTTAACATGATTAAACAGCAATTTCTACATGTTTCATAGGAAGGAGAGAAACAAAAGGAAAAATGAAATCAGAGCCACTATCCTGCCTGCAGGCAGGACCAGTCTTTAAGCTTCACAGCAGGGTGGATGAAACCCCAAGGCTAGTTTGTCTGTCTGCACGGGTATGCTACAGCCCTTCAGGGGTGGTTCCATGACCCAATTCCCCAGTAGTTTAGAAAAAAAAAAAAAGAAACGGGGCTGTAAAAAGTTGGCTTACTATGCTTCTTTCTCCAACAATGTTTAGCAACATCCTCTTGTTAAAACTAAAATGAGAAGCAGGATGAAAAACAGTGGGCTCTGCTAAAATGCTGCATCATCTGTAAACACTTTTGCAACATCATAAAATCCATATGTGCCTTTTAAAAGCTGAAATTTATAGTTAGTTTCATTACCAGCCTGTTTTATGTCTTTCTGTAAATCAACTGATTCTTTCTTATAATTTAAAGTCCAAACGCTGCTTTTTTTGAGAAACCAGTCAGATTTTTCGTGATTTCTCAATTTTTTGTCTTTTAAAATGATTGATAGATTCTATTACAGAAGACATTTTAAATTTGCTACATAAAGTAGCAGTAATTCTGACAGGTACTGTATGATAAATACAGAATACTTGTGCCAAACAGAACTCCTGACAGAGAGATTAAGAGATATGAGTTGCATTGTGCTGAAAAAAAAAATTATGATGAGGTTATTTTTAGGTTTGGATTTAGATTTGGATGACAGTGTGTGGGTGGAATAATGTGCATCAACTCTTTAAATCATGTTTTTTTAATACTGTACAAGTGGATTAGCTTCTTCATATGTAACAGTGACTTTCTCCCCTTTTAATCCTCCTGAGCTCTGATGGGTCAGGTGTAAGATTGTGAGCAAGCATGTTGCTTTGGGTCAGGGGCGATTCTAGGATCAGAGGGTTAGGGCTGCCAGGCACCCAGGGAGCTGTCTGGCTGAGCAAGATACATTTCAGTGTTTTCTAAATACATTATTACTTTTTAAAACAAGTACTGTATAGTTTTCACACTATAGTTTTTTATTTATTTTAAAAAGCAAATACAGTATAAAAAACACTTGCCTTGATTCAGTTTTGGGGTGCCAAAAAATGGGCTAAAAACGGCTTTGCTTTTGGGTTAAAAATGTTCAACTGATCTAAAGCATGAAAACAGGTGGAAAAACTAGAGTTGAATAGTTGTGATATTAAACAGGTCAGCAAAAATGCTAAATTTTCCAAAACAGTTATTTTTTTTTTTTTCCTACTTGCTTTGATTCTGTTTTATCTTCCTGTATTTTAATCATGTAAAGCACTTTGCATTGTCTTTGTACTGAATTGTGCTATACAAATAAATTTGCCTTTTCTTACCTTGCCTTGCCTTGCCTTTATGAAGAACACACATTGACTCCACTGTAAACAGATGATTCGGTCTTCTGTTGGGTTTGCATTAACAAAACACCTCTCGCTAGACCCAGAAGGTCAGTAAAGAGTCATTCTGAGGATTTAATCTGTAAATGTGTGAGAGTATTATGCCTTTTACTGCATCCACCTACTTTAACACTTTCAGTGAATAACCGATTAATTAGTAGGATCCACTGAAACAATGCTGCCAAGGTCAAATTAAGTTTCCATTCTCTACCTGCCTTTAATTACAATCTTTTTTAAAGAAATATATAAACCTACATTCACATTTTATAACTGAATGTAGCTCTTTATGTAATTAAACAATGCTCTAACTGAGAATGGAAGCTGAAAAGCTATTAAGTCAAACTTGTTCATCAACTAAAGGCTGTTACAAAAGGCTTGTATTTTATACTTGAGAGTGGGTGTGTTGCTATATACTGATTAATAAAACCATTTAAAGAGTTTACATCTAGATTCTGTTTGAAAACAGTTCCCTATATGCTGCAGAAGGCAACCTCCTCCTACGACGCTGAGAAATGTTTTTTTCTTTCTTTCTGTATTTTTCTCTGATCTGTGGTGAGTGGCAGATCAGAGCAATTCCAAAAATTCTAATGAAGATTGTTTAGGGGAGAAATCGAGTGTTAAAAGAACATGCTTTTTCCCCAACAGCTTATAGGTTGGAACCCTCCATCAGTTGAGGTAGCTTTTCCGCTCCAAGAAAGTAAAATGTCCAATTGTCTTATTTCTCTAAATCGTTTTAGATTTGCCTAGTATTTTAACTTTGCAAGATTACATAGAGAAATCTGATTTCTTTGAGTCAAGACATCGGGAAGCAGAAATATGGACTTATAACAAAGGGGGAGCAGCTGTTCCTCTTTTGCCATTGTACAGGCAACTATTACTCTAGTGCAGGAAGCAAAAAAGGCTTTCCAGGAACAGCACAGAAAATAATACAAACTATGTCAAGACCCAATGCAATCTGCCATTTACTCCTTAAGCTTTGCGTGAATATATAAAGAACAAATACAGGCATGTTATTTATCGAATTAAATGAGAGATGATTTTTGCATTTGATGAAATTAAAAGGAATTAGGGTTTTATTAAAGAGGAAAACTCCCCTCCTTATGTTTTCAGGGATGCTGCAAATAAAAAAAGCATTGATGGAGAAATTATCAATGTAAAATCTTTACCAGCTTTATTTAAACAGAACTAATACATTAAAAAAAGTCATGTGAACATGGGCAAGTTTTATGATATTATGGCAATATTGAAACTAGGTGGACAAATACAACAGAAATGAAATTAAATGATTGGAAACACGCTGCCAAAGGGCAAATTGCAAATACTACATTACAATAGATATTCAAATGAACTGTTCTTGGAATGGATGACATAACGTAACACTATAAATTAAAGCATATATATGTAAGTATATGTTGTACTGTAACTCATTAAATTGAATCTCTGAATGCTGTTATTGTTCATTCTTTCTCTGTTGGTGTGGAACAATCATAATGTTTAGCCAGCTAGGATTTAAACCTGTCGTCCTCTAATTGTTAGACACGAAATCATGTGCTCCCCTCGCCCAGTTCTGCAGCTTAAGGTAGAAGGTGATGCTTCCATTCAGTGGAAAATATATTCTTTTTACCTTACCTGGTTTTTTGACTTGAATCCTGGTGTACCCCGAGGTATCTCGTGAGAGTCGATACCATGCTCCATCCGGGTCGCTCAGCCACTCCTCCACCAAGCAATAATAGGTCCCTGAATCACTGCCCTCTGCCCTGTTCAGTGTCAGCGCATAAAGTCGAGGTGAGAGCCTCTCGGCCTGGACCCGCCTCCTCAGCCTCTCTTCATCTGCGTATGCGCCGTACTCAAAGGCCCCCGTGCGTTCGATCCTCAGCAGGAGTTCATCAGTTTCTGAGCCTGATGCCCGTCGTATGTACCACAGAACAGCATGCTGGGAGTTCTGGCTTGTCTGGGAGATGATGGAGCAATTGATCCTGACCCGGCTGTCCTCCTGGTACACCAGAGACTGGTTGTTCTTTTGCACCTTTAACTTACTGTCTGCGAAACAAACAAAAAAAAAAAACAAGAGGAAAAGAAGGATTTAGAGGAGGAGAAGGCGGAAAAAAACTATTTATCTCACTAGGAAATAAGAAAAAAAGTGATCACTGGTGACATATTTCAGTGACAAACTGCTTAAGGTTTGCTTTAATGCTGATGGCAGGAGGGCAGAAATGGACTAGCAATACATGGGTGAGTTCAGAGGTTGACAAAGAAAGAAAACAGGAAGATGCTGTGAAGTGAAAGGAGAGGAAAATGCCACACAAGTCAGAGTCAGAGGGATGGGAACTCTACTCAAAATGCAGACCAGGCTAAGAAACAAGGGTGATAGATTGTAGGAAAGGATATTATTAGGTAGGTTATCAGACAAAAGCAGGGCAGGGGGTGCTGTCATTCTGCCAGACAGAAAACGAAGGAGTAATACATTATAAAGTCAAGCAGGAAAGGGGGAGAGCAGACAGGAATAGAGGAGGGAGACGACAGAGGTGTGACTAAAATGCCAGGAGGAAGCTGCATTTTTCCTGAGTGCTGTGACAGGATTGGTTACAGCAACATCGGCTGTGGGATAGGATTAGCTGCAGGTACATAAGGTGTGACCGCCACGGGAACACCACTGTCAAATGCTGGGGGGGATTTACTGAAAGCTCGCAGAACACACACATTTGCACAATGACAGCCAAACAAATCCTCATCACAAGCTTTAGGAAAGGATGTTAAAGACATTTATTAGGAGAATAAGAAACAATGTTTGCAGTTTATGATTCTAAAGCAAAGTTATTTTAATGATGAGCCTAACATTCAACATTGTGAGGAGAATTACAAAGCTCCCTGAGGATATATTGAGAAAAAATGTTTTTTTCAGAAAAGTGAAGATATGTCTTAAATGATCATGGTTACAGAGGTCTTCAAATAAACACAAACATCATTAGGTCTAACAGTCCACATTTCCAAAGTTGTTATTTTTAACAATCAGGCAAAGCAAAGCACACAATAAAAGCACTGTAGTTTCTCATTAAATAAATCCAAAAATAAGTTCATTCCTTTCAGTTATCTTTAAAGATATTGGTTATTTATATTCTTGAAAATATTCCATGACTTTGCAGCTTTACAGACATTTACCCAAAGCTTTTTATGTGATGCTAGGATTTGTTTAACATCTTTGAGTAGATAAACTTGTTTTCTAGGAAATTTCGTTCTAATAAAATAATGAAAGAATGGATGCTATTTAACATGTTTTATACAAAGGTGGTGACTTCCTTGAGCTCATGCAGAATGGCTTAAAATCTGGATCAGTAGTAATGTCAAATCACAGAGAGCTGAACTGCCTGAACAAAACATCTACATATACTGTAACATGTTAAAAGCTCTGTTAAACAACACAGATACAAGGTCCCTACATTTGGATTTGAAGCTGAGACAGAGGCACTTCTTGCAAGAAAAAAGGTTCAAATTCATTTAACGTCCTCAGATGGATAGATAAGCCTGAAGCAACCTTAGTACATACATTTATACCTTACAAAAATCCCAACACTCACTCCCCCAGGGTAACCAACCCACCCCCTGCATAAAGAACTTACTCACACTTAAAAATGTGGAGGAAAAACAACAGGCCGTTCCTGTTAGGTTGATATTTTTTTCACTGACCCTATGGATCTCCTCAAAACAAAAGTCCTTCCCTTCATGCCATGAAGGAGGCCGTTTAACTCATTCTCATCTCTCATGACCTTCGTTTGGAGCCTGTGAGGCTAAACACAGACATACCTCAACATCTTTTCCTGCACAGGATCTAAAAGCTTATTCTGCCAGGACAACTGAAACATCACTCATTTAGCATGCTATTTTTTTTAAGTGAAAATATCAGCAGCGATTCATCATAATGTTGGGTGTTTTGCTATTGTGGTAATTAAAGGATTTAAAAATAAAATTAATTCATTGACATATAGTACTGGGATTTCATTTGACAGGCCAATACAAAGAAATGGATAATTAATGTGGATTGATCCCCACCAAGTAATGTTTAGAAATATAATTTCTGCATGTTTTCAGGATTTCTATCAATTTATTTTATTTATTTTTTTATTTAAGACTCCAAAAGCCTCAACTCTTTTTCAGCCTACAGGATTTCCCTGTGGATAATTTTAACTCTTATTGTCATTGCCTCTGAACATTCTCAACATGTTCTGAAAAAAAATCATACTGTGTGATGCTGCCACTATGTTTTTAAGTTCAAGAAGATATGCTGTGTTAGCATTCTGCCAAATATGGCACTTTGCATTAGGGTGGGAAATTAAATTCAATTTGGTCTCAACTGTAAAATCTACAGTGATCCAGATGTTGGTTTGTTTGTCCTCTGGATATCAGGTGTCAGACTATTAACAGGAATTCCTATGATTTTATTTCAACAAAGACCATTTATCTTGGTGATTGTCTGTAAAGAAACAAAAAGAAAAGCCACTGTTGTCCTTTCAGGATATTCTATATCCTGGTTTTACTGTCTTCTCAAAAGAATGTAAGTCATGCCTGGTGCCTCAGTTTATCTTAATAGGTTTGGTTTGTGCCACAAACTTAATAGTTTCAGTTGATGGATTGAACACTGTGAAAGTAGATGCTTAAATCTTAGGATAAATGTTCATTAAACTGATGCTGATTATTCTCCAATGAACCTCACAAAACAGCTGTATTTCAACTGAAACTATATTCAATGTTTATGTCCTTTATTAACTAATCAGGCAATTTCTTTAAGCAGTAATTTGTAATGAATAATTATTATGAGGATCAGGGTTGAGATTGCTTGGTATGCATAATAAACTTTTCTGCTTTCTACAAATAAAAATGTTAATAATCCTAGTATGACTTTCTTTCACTGTAAAGAACTACTTTGTGTTGGTCTGCCCCATAATATCATTGAGATAAAATTTGAAAAAACTCAACAGGTGAGTCAACTTTGAAAGGCAAATATGTTGCCTGTTTGCTACTACAGAGTTAGTGATGCCTTTTATATATATATATATATATATATATA